GCGCGCGCGGGACGCCGGGGTGGGCGGGTTCCCGCCGCATCTCCGCCTCCTGGGGCCTCTCTGGGAGCCCAAAGGCCTCGCCATGAACCGCGAGCCCTCCGCCGGGGTTCGCCTGGGAGCGGGGGGAAGGCGCGCGGCTGGTACTGCGGGAGTGGGGCTGTGTCGGGCTAGTGCGCAGCCCGGGGACCGCCCGGCCCGCTTCCTGCCCGCCCGCCGCACTGCGAGGTGGAGCTCCATCCCCACCCCAGGAGGCCGGCTGCAGGACCTCGCAGGCCCTTCGGTCGTCACCCTCTGGGCCGACCTTGGCCTCACGCCCCTGAGCCAAGGGGCCAGTGTTGACTGCAGACCTAAGACAGGCCCCGCGAGGCGCCCCTCACAGGTGTGCGGGGCAGAAGGAAGTGAGGCAGTAAACTGTGGACATTGCCAAGCGCTTTGGAGGTCAACCTTTACGTACAAATAAGAAAACTGAAGCCCAAGGAAATGTGAACGAGCCTGCCCAAGGTCGAGAGCCAAGTGTTCGTCTCCCAGAGCGCTGTTTGCACCCTATTTCACATATACACTTTAAAGTGTAACCCGCCGCCGGGGACACCTGCAGACCCCATGGCAAGGATGGGGAGGTGGCAGTTCTCTGGACTTAAGTCTTCATGAGAAACCTGGTGGAGGGGGACCTCTCTGAAACAGCCTTATGGGAAGCCTAGCTAATTTTACATTTCTCCACTATTAGTAATACACGCACATAATACAGAAACCAAGGGCACTCAGTGACAGATGCAGCTCCTTTTCCCCTTTGGATGCAGGTCATCCAAGGTCTGTCCCCAGGAAACAATTGTTACCTAATTCCAGAAATAGTTTAAGTATGGTCAACCATATGAATATTAAATTTAAAAAATAAATATCAACAGGCTTCATGTATTTCTATGCCTGTTAGTCAAAGGAAGTTCAATTTTTCCCAGAAGTCCCCAAAAAATTACCTAAAAGGGAAGCAAATCATCCCTGGCCTTGGTGCTCTTCTACCCAATCCCCTCCAGCAGGATTGCACATTCTCTCATCACTTGTCCCTCTGCCCACCTCCCACCAGAACACATACCATGGGCCAGTGGGGCATCTGAAAGCATTCTTGCTGGGGTGATTGGCCATCACCCTCTTCCCAATTTAGCTCTCGGCTGTGGGAGGTCTCAGGGCAGTTTCTTGCATTTCAGACTTCTTTTTCTGGAGCATCCCAGCACAGCTGATTGGACATCTGATGTCAGCTATGTAAAACAAAACCTGCCAAATGTGCAAAGACTCATCATCTCCGTTGAGTGAATCATCGGGCCAGGTGAATGAGTGACTTATTGCAGAATGCAAAACCACATGCTCTACTAAAATATGGCCTCTTAGGGAACCACAGAGTAGGAGAGCTCATACTCCTGCCAACAGTATTAATGTACTTACCTTTCCTGCACTGATAAGTCTTCAAAGAATAATCATAATTTTTTTAAAAATCTGGAGCCGTATTTTTTAATTCCAGATTTTATGTTGAGATGATTGTAGATTAGCGCTCCGTTGTAAGAAATAATTCAGTCAGACCCCTGCATCCTTTACCCAGTTCTCCCCAAAGGTAACATCTTGCAAAACTATAGTACAATAGGGACCAGCAGTTAGCGTAATGGCTGTGTTGCTGGACTCCCACATAGTCAACCACGGTTTGCGTCCCAGACCCGGTGGCTTAAAACTCATGCCGGGTGCGTGTGTGTGCATGCCCAAGATCCCGAGAAGAGAATGGAGGAGAAGGGATTGAGGTGTGGTCATCCCCCCTGGGAGGTGATTTCTCGCTTTCTGTCTCTCTCTCTCCATCTGGCGAGCGCACGCGCCCTATAGCAAAAACCTCTCAAAAAAAAAAAAAAACCTATAGTACAATATCACAACCAAGATATTAATACCAAGATAATTGACATACAGAACAATCCCATCTCTATGAGAATCCCTCAGGTTACCCTTTTATAACTACCTCAATCTTCCTCCAGTACCCACTGGCAATACTAATCTGTTCTCCATTTCTATCATTTTTTTTTTCACACCAGCCCATGGTGTGGTGGTTAAGGTGGCTGAATCCCACATGGCTGAAGGCGCAGTTTGAATCCTGGACCTTGGAAAACACACTAGGCATGTGTGCACGCAACATGTGTACCCTCAAAAACCCAAAAGGAAGAAGAAATGGAGGAGAAAGGATTGCAGTGTGACCATTCCCCATGGGGGTTGCAGGTGCTTTCTCTCTCTTTCTCTCCCTCCCTGGTGAGTACATGTGCCCTCTGACAAATTTTAAAAAATAATAAATAGGAACCAGTAAGTGGTGTGGTTAAGATGTCGGACTCCCAAATAGCCGAAGTTCAAATTCTAGACCTAGCAGCTTGCTTTCTCTCTCTCTGCTGAGCATATATGACCTATACCAAAATAAAAGAATAATAATAAGGGGCTGGCAGGTGGCATGGTGGTTAAGACACTGGACTCCCCACATAAGTGACTGAGGTTTGAGTCCTGGACCTGGTGGTTTGCTTTCTCTTTTCCTGGTCAAATTAAAAAATAATTAAATACATTTAAAAAATAAAAAAGAATGATTATTAAAATTAAATGGATGGGTCTTCAAAAATTACATAAATGGGGGCCGGCAGGTGGCATGGTGGTTAAGGGCATTGGACTCCCATGTGGTCAACTGCAGTTCAAGTCCTGGACCTGGTGGCTTGCTTTCTCACTTTCCCTCTCTTTTTCTCTTTATCACTCTGTGTCCCTTTCTGGTCAAATAAAAATAAATGACTAACGTCTAAATAAAATAATTCTCTTTTTTTTTTTTTTTTGGAGAGGTTTTTGCTATAGGGCGCATGCGCTCGCCAGTCAGACAGAGAGAGACAGAGAGACAGAAAGCAAGAAATCACCCCCCAGGGGGGAGGGCCACGCCACAATCCCTTCTACTCCATTCTCCTCTCAGGATCTTGAGCACGCACACACACACGCCCGGCGTGAGTTTAAGTCACCTGGTCCGGGACTCAAACTGCAGTCGACTGCGTGGGAGTCCAGTGACATAGCCATTACGCTAACTGCTGGTCCCAAAATAAAATAATTCTTTAAAGAAAAAAATTATGTAAGTAGGGGCAGCAGGTGGCATGGTAGTTAAAGGTGCTGGACTCTCACATGGGCTATCGTGGTTCAAGTCCCCGACCTGATGGCTTGCTTTCTCACTTTACTCTCTCTCCCCACCCATCAAATTTTAAAATAGTAATAATTAAAATATTTCTTTATAAAAATTTATATAAAAGGGGGCTAGCAGGTGGTGTGGTGGTTAAGGGCGCTGGACTCCCACATGGCCAACTGGGGTTCAAGTCCTGGACTTGGTAGCGTGTTTTCTTTTCCTCTCTCTCTATTCCTCTCTGGTAAAATTTAAATAAATAAATAAAGTTAAATAAAATAGCTATTAGGACCAGCAGTTAGCATAATGGCTATGTTGCTGGACTCTCATGTGGTTGACCACGGTTCGAGCCCCAAACCTGGTGGCTTAAACTCACACCAGGCACATGTGTGTGCGTGCGCAAGATCCCAAGAGGAAAATGGAGGAGAAGGGATTGCGGCGTAGCCATACCCCCTGGGGGGGTGATTTCTCGTTTTCCTGTCTATCTCTCTCTGTCTTTCTGGCAAACACACATGCCTTATAGCAAAAACCTCTCCAAAAATATTTTAAAATAAAAAAATACTAAAATAGTTATTTAAACAATATGTAACTGGAATCATACAATATGTAAACTTTCGCAATTGGACTTTTCCAATCAATGTACTTATCTGGCATTTTATCCAAGTAATTAAGTTTACCAATATTTTATTCCTTATTGCTGAGTAGTAATCTATGGTATGGATATAATACCAATCTGTTTAATGATTTACTTGTTGAATGACATCTGGATTGTTTCCAGGTTGGTTTGGTTTTGTTTGGCTTGGTTTACTTCTCTCTTCTACAACTGAGCGAGAGAAAGAGCACCCCCAACAGGACAGGGTCCCAGTGCCGCGATCCATCCTCAGCCTTCATCCAGATCATGGGTACGCATGTGTCAGTACAGTCAGGGAGGTCTCTGCACCAAACTATATTTCACTGTAGTTCATATTGGTATTTCCCTAATGCCTAACGATTTTGACCATCTTACGCTATTGTCATCTGTATATCTTCCTCTGTGACATTCTTCTTCTTCTTTTGTCCATGTTCTAGTCAGATTTTTCTTTTTTGAGAGACTTTTGCTATACGGTGTGTGCACCACAGAGACAGAGAGAAACAGAGAGAGAGAGAAAGTGAGATTCACCCTCCAGGGGAAATGGCCATGCAGGAATCCCCTCTCCATTCTCCTTTAGGGATTTTGGGCATACACGTATGTGCCAGGCTTGAGTTTTAAGCTGCCGGGTTCAGGACTCAAACCAGGGTTGACTACATGGGAGTCCAGTGACAGTATTAATGTGCTTATCTTTCCCTGCATTGATAAGACTCCAAAGAATAACAATTAAAAAAAAAATCTGGAGCCATCTACTGGTCTTCACTGTTTGTTGAAAAAGGCTATTTTTCCTTTAATTACTTTGCAGCTATGTCAGAAAATCAAACAAGAGAGAGGCAGTATAGCACAGTGGTATAGAGCATGGGTTCTCTAGGTAGACTACCTGGGTTTGAATCCTACCACTTACTAGTTCTGTAACCTTGGGCGAGCTACGTAACCCTCTTTAAAAAGAGGGATAACAAGAGAACCTACCTCATATAATCCTTCTAAGGACCAAGTTAAATGATCTAGGTCATGGTAAATTTTTTTCAAGAGAGATTTTTACTACTAGGCACATGTGCTCACTAGAGAGAAAAAGTGAGAAATAACCCCCCACGGAGGATGGCCATGCTACAATCCTTTCTCCTCCATACTCCTCTCAGGACTTAGGACACACACAGACGTGTGCGCCTGGCATGAGTTTTAAGCCACTGGGTCTAGGACTTGAACTGTAGTCGACTACTTGGGAGTCCAGGGATGTAACCATTCCACCATCTGCTGGTCTCAGTAATTAACTTTTTAATTGAGTACTAATCATTCAATAAATCTTACATTTTTAAAAAATTGGTTGGGCATGTTTCTGTGGTTCTATTGCTAGGATTCCTATTTAGATCCATTATCTCTGTTCCTCTGCTAATACCACATAGTCTTGATTACTGTAGCTGTAAAAGTCTTGAAATCAATTAGATGAATCCTCCCACTCATTCTTCTTTTTCAAAATTATTTTAGCTACTCTAGTTCCTCACCCTATTTAAATTTTCAAAAACCTGTCTGCCTACAAAAATCTTCCTGGAATTTTTCTTTTCTTTTTTTAATTTGCTATAGGGCACATGCAATTGTCAGGGAGAGGGAAAATGAGAAAGCAGCCCCTGGGGCGTGGCAGCCACACAATCCCTTCTCCGCCTTTTCTCCTGTCAGGATTTGGGGCAAGCACACACATATGTCTGGTGTGTTTTTCAAGTTGCCTGGTCAGATGCTCAAACTGTGCTATTGGCCCTGTGGTATCCACACCACCGGGCTTACCCCCTCCTTGGAATTTTGATAGGAAGTGGATTAAGAGTGTGTATCAATAGGAGGAAGATAGATATCTTAACACCATTGTCATTTTTTATTTATTTATGATTATTATTATTTTTTAATTTGCTATAAGGGCACATGTGCTCACCAGAGAGATAAAGTTAGAAAGCAAGATGCCAGGTTCAGGATTTGATCCATGATCAGCCATGGGAGTCCAGCACCTTAACCATCATGTCACCTGTGTTGGTCTCTATGTTGTCTCCTATGCTTTCATGAATATTGTTTACTTTTCAGCATATGTATCTTGTTTGAACTTTGTTAGATTTATACCTACATGTTTATTTTAAGCAAATGTAAATGGTATTGTATTTTTAAAATTATTTCTTTGATTTGATTAATTAATTAATTTATAATTTGAACAGAGAGAGGGAGAGAAAGTGAGAAAGCAAGCCACCAGGTCTAGGACTTGAACCACAGTCAGCCATGTTGGAGTCCAGCACCTTTACTACCACGTCATCTGCTGGCCCAAAGAGTATTGTATTTTAATGTATGTCTACATGTTCACTACTAGTATGTAGAAAAGATATTGTATGTTTCTCTCATACCCTACAACCTTGTTGAACTCTCGATCTGTGA